GTTATAGGGGGGCTTGCCCCCTATTTACATAACAGAATCCCATGGGGGGTTATATTATAGGGGGGCTTGCCCCCTATTTACAATACAGAATCCCATGGGGAAGGGGGGGTTATAGGGGGGCTTGCCCCCCTATTTTCTCCCCTATTTCCAATACAGAATCCCATTGGGGGGGGGATTGCCCCCCTATTTTCTCAAAATTAGGTTGATTAAAAATCACTCCAAAATAACCACTCCTCTTGAACTCGAAGAACAAGAATAAAAAACCACTCGAAGAACTAGAAATAGGGTATAGCGATAGAAGGTGCCTCTGAAGAATTATAGAACACAAAACACTCGCAAAAAATCGAAACGCTTATAAAGATAATTGTCTCTCTTACGAAAAACAAAGAAAGAAAAAAGATGTTTTGAAAACGCATTCCGTGGCAACCAATCGCAACCTCAGTGCTTTTTTGTCATATCTCCATTTTTACTTGCTTTCTTGTCATTTCTCCGTGTTTTTTCAACAGTGAAAATGTGACATATTCTTACGCTCACTATTTCTTTTGTACTGTTTTCACTCTTATTACACATGGGTATGGAACAAAGCACTGAGGTTGCGATTGGTTACAACGAAATGCGTCTTCTAGATTCTTTTGTCTTTTTTTTTTTTCCCGCTCAAAACACGTGCGACATGATTTCGTCATTTTAAAAAATGTTTCTCTTATGCCTTACCGGGACACGGGCGCACGAAAAACACGAAGTAAAGATACACCGGTACGGAGAAATCCGCGCTTGTCCACAGCGGCAACTCGAAAACGAAAGTCCGCCATTTTATGCAAATGAGGTTAACTCGACTCAGAAATTTCCTTTTTTTGGGGGGTGGGTTTTTTTTTTGTTGCCGAGATGTTCCAGGTGAAAAATAATTGCGTTTTGGTAATTTTGGAAGGTGATGCACTCCCACTTAACTCCAGTAGGGTTATAATTTTTTTTTTCCCCACATTGTAGCAATGCCAAAGAAAATTAAAATTTTCACTTTAGCCCTTGTTTTTGGTACCTGCGAAAGAATTTTCAATTCTAAGAATTATGCTTCTTGACTTTTGAGAATTGGTTCATAAATAAAAAAGTTATGGGGTTGTAAAGGTCGGCAAAATATGGATGACCCACATATAGGAAAATACTCCAAAAAAGTGGACCACGCAGTAGCAGATTCTGTAAGAAAATCGACGATATCTCGGTAACTAATCGGAGTGTTCGAGAGAAACTTGGCTACCCGATGTGTTTTTGAGTGTAGAAATCATTTCTGCAGTCAGATTTACTACCAATTTCGTAGTTATTTTGATATAATTAAAATTTTGGTGTACATATTACGATTTTGCGAAAAAGGGGTGTCGGGATGAGTCCATTTTATTTTTATTTATAGCATTGTATCACAACATGGGATCTTTAGGAATATATGTCAGCAGCGTGACTAAATAATTGCAAAGCTTTTTATGATGACTTTAGACCATACCAACCGTAAAAAAAGATAAGTTAATTCAATCTAGCATGCCGTACAATTAAAAATTATTTTTTCCCGTTGAGACGCAAACACCCCGAGACGAGATAACCTCGTCTCGGAATACCCCCATTACGATGTTACAGGGGAATAGAGAGAGAAAAACAACAGGATGCGCGCGCCCGCCATTGCCCTATTTCAAGTGACCAATGAACGGGCCCGGAATAGTCATGCGGGGATTTGTAGGTCACATGCATTTGCCACGAGAGTGAGGGGGAAATGGCCGGTCTCCGTGCGAAGCCGCTTTGGATAGGGGGGTAGTCGTGCATTAATGATCGGGTCTAAACAACTACTTGACACAGAACGTTCAAATTTGAGCACACTATAGAGGATAGATAGATCTATTACCATCTCGGCGTCGAAATTCAAACCAATGTTTTTTGTTACATTATCCCTGCCGCTAATCATTTGACTTTCATGTCAAGTATAAGTTCTTTGTTGTCTGTGTGCAGAGAAAGCACCAATGTTACACTATGATGATGTTTGCAGTTTGTTTTACAGGGCAGTCATCCACGTTTACTGGGATGTGCTCTGAACTGAAATTGAAATGCCCACATGGTGCAAATGTCTCACAACAAGGCTGTGTGGTTGCATAGATGTTTTTGTTACTATACATTATGAGATTTTGAAGGGAACAGTTACATCCTCACTCTGACTACTTGTCTAGATTACTTTGAACTTTAACCAAGGCTTTTAATTATGTAAATTGTTTCATGTGCTCCTCAGAGTAAGCTTTTGTTTGTGCTGTTCGAGCACGCTGCTGGCTATGGCCTCTTCTCTGTCAAGGAATTTGACGAGGTTGCGGCTCTGTTGCCTCAAGTGGAGAGCAGTGTCTCAGATATCAGCAAATTCCAGTCTGTCGTGAAGCTGGAGGCGTTCCAGGCTTTTAGGAATGGACCAAACTCTTTGGATAATATCAATGCTATTGCAGCAGGTACTTTATGAAATCATGTCTTTGAGGCAATACAAGCTACCAACATTGTTACCACATTTATGATTTTTATGTTATAGATTGCAGTCTTATTTTTTAACTGTTTAATGCAGAGATAGATGATTCATTAATGATGAACTATTTATAAGCTTTTGAATTTTTATACCCTTGTGCACAAGAATATAAGTGTGAAATAATCCTAGCTTTTGATAGTCTTTTCCTACCATCCAGATTCATTTAAAGGCTTGCTTTTCTTGAAATACAGAGTTTTTACTGTGAATGGTACAACGCCCCCCACCCCACCCCGTCTCCTTTAACATCACATTCTTTTACTTCAATAATTATGTGATCAGACCTTGTAAGACTTCAATGCATTCTTCTATTTGAAAGGGTAAAAGTTCCTGCCCAGTGGTCACTCTCACTCTGTTGCCAATGGCTTTCGAAAATCCTCGTGTGCATGTGTGGTCTTATTTTTATTCTTACATTACATACTGGACCTGTTTGACTGGCCAGTTCAATTACAGAATTGAAGATTGTAACTTGTTCTGTTAAGATCCAATTTGCTTTTATGGTTAACTTCTTTCCTGAACATCATACTCATTGGCGTATACTGCCTTTCTTTTTTTGTAAGTGTTTTATGACGCTCACAACTGCATGAGGTCATATGGGCGTATGGGACGTAGGAAACATTTTCAGTTGGTAGAAAATTTTGAATTTTGTCTGGGCGGCGGCTGAAGCCTACTCTTACAGATTTTGGATCACCAAGAGATCTTTAACGTGCGCAACTTGCACACTGGACCTGAGATTCTTCACCCTTATCCAAGAAGGCTATATATGCTAGATCTTACCTACCATAAGATCAGGGGTGTGGCTGAAAGACAGCATAGTAAGGAGCCAAGGAGTAGCAATAGAAAGGCTGCAAAGAGTCCGGAGCCCAGGAGAGTGGGCAAAGGAGGTGAGGGGGTCC